GAGAAGACTTGTCCATAACACATCTGCTACGAGACTTGAAACTTTTCCATTACAGATTGGATACTGGATTTTTATCCTATAATTTTAGTAATTTTTTATTTCCCTGCTGCCACATCTTTTTTCTATTGGAAAATAAGTAAATTTTGAATACTTAGAAGATATAATGTCTGTGCTTTGTAGTTGAAGAAACTGGGACCCAAGAAGACAAACAGTTTATTCAAGTTCACATATTTAGTTGTTGTAAAGTATCTATCACAACACTCAACATATAACATGTGCATAATAAAGAATAAATCCTTTATTATTTGGGGGTTTTTTGATCTGTAATACATTTAGAATTGCACTTATGCATACATTATTTCTATTTCTTTTTTATATTATTTATGTATGTTACTTTTAATTTTTCTTAAACATTTAATATTGACTTTAGAATTATCATTATTGATCTGTTTCACAGATGAAACATTTCTTAAAAGTTTAAACCCCACTTAATCACATTTTAGTTCATTTCATAGGAGGACTGTATCTTAGATGCTCTTCATTATATAACTCAAAATAGTTACGGAGTCAAGAGACAGCAAGAAGGCCAGGTTCAGTGGCTCAGTCTGCAATCTCAGCATTTTGGGAGGCCAAGGCGAGTGGTTTGCATGAGCCCGTGGGTTCGAGACCAGCCCAGGCAACTTGGCGGGAGCCGTCTCTACAATAAATAAAAAATTAGCCAGACATGGCAGCACGTGTCTGCAATTCTGGTTACTTGGAAGGCTGAGACAGAATCGCCAGAGCCCAGCATGTCGACACTGGGATGGCCATGAATGTGCCACTGCACTCCAACCAGGGCAACAAAGTGAGACTCCAACTCAAAAAAATTAAATTAAAATGAAATTAAATTAATAAATAAACAAATAAAATAAAAAAACCAACATCTTTTTTTTTTAAAAAAAAAGAGAGACAGCAAGTAATATTCACAACTGGATCCTATACAATAAAAAAAAAAAAAGAAGTCTTCTGATAGGTCTTGGAGTAAACTTACTACTAATTGGAAATTTTCTTTGATCTGCCTTGGTTCTTCCCACCAGACCCCTAGTTACCCACAACATGGCTACGAAAAAGTTTTGAAAAATAGACATCAAGACCATTTAACACTGTTTTATTCTCCGGATAATGTCACTTTCTTCTGTAGGATAATAAGGAAGAAAAAATGATTAGGAAGAGACCAGGCAGAGTCCTTTCTTAGTTACTTCGCTGTGACCCTTTCCCGGTCATCTACCACTGTATTCAGTACTCAGGCCCTATTGCCTGTGGAAACTGCACTATGAGAACTACATCTAGGATCAGATCAGGTCAATAGGCAGAAGAATTGGTCTCACGTTGGTGAGAGTGGGTGCAATTTTTTGCTGCAATGCCAAATTTGTGGGGATAAATGAGTCTATTAGCCACTAGTGATGAGGTCAATTGTTGAACAGCAAACGTAAGAATAATTCATTTAGTTTGGAATTCAGAAAGAGCCAAGATAAACTGACCTAACTCTTATCAGCAGTCATGCCAGAAGTAAATCACTAGCTCATCATATGCCACTATCTTCTCAAAACAAACCTTGCCAAAAAATCTACAGTTAACATCTCATGTTGCCCCCCTGAGGCTGTATAAAGATTGGAAAGAAAAACTATTTCCAAAGGACATGATTGTGCACATATGAAATCCAAAAGACCTAGAAGCAAATGATCGGAATTACTAAGGATTAATTTAATAAGGTCACTGCACACAATGTCAATATAAAAAATAAATTGTGTTTTATAAACTGATAAGAAACAAATAGAAAATAAAATGTGATGCCATCTAATACTAATATATATTTGTCTCCTATTTTATATGTCTCTTTGTACTGAAGCTATAGCTATATATCTTACCTAGGATGCATAAATACATATATGGAATACGTATAAATACATACTCTAGAATAAATACATATATACACATCTATGTATGCACATACACATATATGTGTATGTAGAGAGAGAGAGAGAAATGTAAGTGGGGCAAAATGTTAGCTAGTAAATTTAGGAAAAGGGTACAAAGTCATCACGACATTGTTCTTTCAGATTTGGGTAGGTTTGACATTTTCCAAATAAAAAGCTGGGTGAGCTGTTAATAAACTTAAGGCTTAGGGAGTTAAATTACTTGCCAAATTATGCAAAACAACCGAAGGGCCAGAAATGACACTCACGTCTGACTTTCTTGAAAAGGTTCTCTCCGCCCTGCCTTTTAATCAGGCTTTTCTTCCAGAAGAATGCAGGCGAACTAGAGGTATCAGCCCTGGACTCAGAGCTGCATTTTTCAGTTGTTCCTTAAACAGCAGCATGCATTTATTTTTATTTTATTTTTGTGGTACATACCAATCTTTTGTCATTGGTGTTTATTCATTACTTCTGCTTCTCTGGGTCTCCACCATCTTTTTTGTAAGCCTAGTTGTGTTGTCCACCACTGAGAGTGAGCCTGTTTCTCAAAAATATTGCTCTTATCAGTTTCATCCAGAAACTGGAAGGCCGAGGCACCCTGGTGAGTCACAGACTTCTGCCAGGCACCTCTTGGCTGCCTGCATGAGTTGAAATCCAGGGTCTTTAGAAAACAGATCCTTGATTTTACCCTCTAGCGCTTGGGCACCAGTGATACGTAACATTTCCAGATTTTTTTTTAAAATAAACCTCTTAGCATGCTCTGTACTTAATATAAAAATGCCACCTCTTTTTGAGAACACCCACTCCTTTATAATAGAGGAGCAATGTGGTTGGTATTTGTTTTAAACTGTAAGAAAATAGAGACTCACTTATGCAATTTAGTACAAAGAAAAGGCAAAGAAGTAGAATCACCAGATGCTTGATTTCGCTTTGTATTGCTATGTTGGTATAAGAGCCATATGGTCAGAATTTTTAATATTCCTACATGAAAATTTTAACTTTTTTTTTAAATTACCCTTGTTTCCTTTTGCTCTTCCAATAAATTAGTGAAGCCCTTTGGTTCTTCACTTAACTGGTCTAACATATGTCCTCTGCAACCTCAGGTATTTTCAGTGTCTCATTTTTTAGCTCATTTTCTGAACAGAAAATCTCTCTCTCTCTCTCTCAATCACACACACACACACACACACACACACACACACACACACACATCACACCACACCACACAACTTACTATTTAAACGATCCACCATCTGTTATTCCAAAGTAGCTTTCCTAAATGCTATCCTGAGAAAAAGAGTCCAATAATTAACAGATTATACTGAGTGTGAACCCTGATTCTGTTCCTTTCTAGAAGTATGAATTTGAGTCAATTGAATTATAGCTATAAATCTCTTTGCTCATCTGCAAAATGAAAATAATACCACCACAGAGCATGATGGCAAGGAATAGAGATAGCGTACTTAAAGCAGCTAATATAGATGGAAGCTTATGATTAACATCTTAATTATTAATTATTTTATCATGGTTTTGTATTAAAAACATTTAGGCACAAATTAATAATAGGCATGGTTTCTATCCAGTGAAGAGGTGAATTTTTCATTAATAATTATTATGTTATATACTGTAAATTAAAAACGGGGTCAACCCCCAACAGAGATCAGCATTTTGTCACACTCTTCAAAGAATTCTTAAGTAGATACTACCTCTAGTGAAGATTTGATGACATTTGATATCAACAATTTGATAAAGGCATAAAATATTTGTTTGTCTATCATCTGCATGTTTCAGTAGATGGTGGTGGGAGGCGTCAGTGATGGTGCTCCCCAAGTATCAGACCCTCAGAATATTTAAAATGTAGACGTTTGGGTCCCTTCTGAGAAGTGCTACACCAGAACCCCTGGAGAAGAGAGCTGGGAGTTTGCATGTCTTCAAGCACTCCAGGAAACTCTTTTTGCATACATGACTTTGAAAGCCACTGCTTTATTGTTAAACAAATAACAGCTCTGCAGTTCTTACCTTTTTGTGCCCTTATATCATCCCAACCAGAGACACTGTGATGAAATATATGTGTTCAGCCATCACTGAATGGAAGAAACCCACATGAAAAAGTGTTAAGTCAAGATTTCAGCCCTAAGGTTAACTGGGCCTGGATATTGGGAGCTGTTTAGCCAAGTCTAAGATTACTAGCTCTATTGTGAGGATATTATGACAAAAAGACAAAGGCACCCACATGGGTCTAGCCACATTAAACATTCTTAACACTCAGGGTGTTCATTCTATGTATTAATCTAAATGCAGTGTAGGATGGTTTAAGTATCGATCGCTTAATATTTTTAAGCCCCTTGCATTCTCATTACAGTCCTCTTTTTCTTTTTAGCACCTACTATATACATATTTTTATTATCTGTGTATTACAATTGGGTTTTAGTTTACCATCTGCCTCACGAGGTCAGACCATCAGGTCTGTCACACCAGGGGTATGTATATTTGAATCCAGATCCCAAACCAACCAAGCGGTAAGCACGGGACAGATAATAGACATATGTTGATGGAATAGAAAGTCTATCTTTAAACACTGAACACATTTCATTGCTTAGTTATAAAGTTGTCATTTTTTTCTCTCTGTGATTTAAAGGCTTTTTGTAGCATCACTAATAAGAAGACCAGAGGCATACTAGGAAAAGCAAGGGCTTTGGAGTCAGGAAGTCATGAGTTTTAATTCTGTTTCTACTGCTTTCTTGCTATAGGAACCATAGACAAGTTATTTAACCACTCTTTCTCTTCGCTTCTTCTGCTCTTGAAGCTTTTCTAAGCAAATAGAACATAAATTGCAATTAGACAAATATGAATCTTTCTCAAGCTGAGACGTCAGAAAAAACGTAGGCTGTGTAAAACGCCACATAATTTTCTGATGCTGAGGCATCTAGCCAGGTGTCATTCTTCTACTTGCCGTTCTTTACGCTCAAAATGACTTTCATGGTGAATTGCAATCCAACTAGCTCACAATTTTAGAAAACTTACAGATGAGCAATAGATACTCACAGAGTGTTCAAGTTTCTGAGTTTCTTGAAGATGCTCCCTGGAATTTCTCTTATTTTGTTAAACCTCAAGTCTCTGGGAACATGCAAAGGTAAAGAAAGATGATAATATGTTGATTCTATTTTGCCATTATTTCTAGAAACTTGAAAGCTAGTTATCTTTTTATGCCAAACATACAGCACTAAAGAACTAAATAATTAAGGCAAAACTAGTGCACATCACACACTAATCATTAGGTAGGTACGCTGTTTACAACAAACATGCATCTCTGGGACCGTATACTAGTCCGAGATGCCAGACAAATGCAGCTAGCTACAGAGTACTTCACAGGACTAAAGGCAGTTACATCATTTGTTTTAGGCTGTATTTATACGACAGCAAAACGAGTATTATATATGGCAATGTGTCCATTGAACAGATTTCGTTTGAAAAATAATACTGATGTCACACATCAATTCAACATCACACTATTGCTTGAATTGAACCAAAGTTATTAAATACCTCATTTTTCTTCACAGCCCAGGAATGCTATTACCTTCTATACAATATTAAAATAAATCAACAAAACAATGACTTTGAGAAACACGTGTCTCCACAATCAACAATCTTTTTCCTTAATTGACATCTTACTCTATTCAGCATGTGAATAATTGGGTGTCAACTACATGTCATGGATCATGTTAAGTAATGGGGATACAAAGGTGAGCAAGGTGTGTTTTCTACTGCTAAGCACGGAGAGTTCAGTGGGGGGTGACAAACAAGTTATCACAGCCCTAGGGTCTATAGTATTCATGGCACAACAGAGGAACAAACAAATGCCATGGCATATAGTCAACTTTGGCATTGCTCTGCCTAGACCCACTCTGTTGCTGGGGAACCAGCCACATGATTATGGTAGAGACATCAACCATCTGCCTCTTCTTGCCTTTAACATGGTGACTAAGGCCAGACAACTGAGGGTGGCATCTCCCTGGATACAGTGTTTCTTCCATGGGGAATATATGACCCAAGCAAGGCCAGTTGGGGATATTTGCAAGCGTTGATGTGACTCCTGAATAAAATAGAGCTATGTTGTTTATCTGGTCAGACCTGTAAGGAAAATGAGCACCTTGGGCCACTAGTGCCCATTTTGACCACACTAGAAAAAGGCTAGCCTGAGACTAAAACCAAACAGGGACAAATTGTGACAAAATGTAGGGGGGGAAAGGCAAAGCTCTGGACCCAGGTATACCTGAGACCAAATTTACCCTTGACTTTTCAGATACGCGAGGCTAGCAATTGTCATTTTGATAAACTAACTTCAGCTGAGTTTCTATGTCTAATGCAGGAAGCATAGGAGAAAGATTAAATAATGTGTTTGAAAATGTGAGACTTAAGGGAAATCATATCAGAAAAATTTTATAGGACGTTAGAGTGTCAGTAAAAAACTGAGACAAAACACTATCACTGCTTCCCCTCATATTCTCAAAATAAAAATTTTCATCATCATAAAATGTTGCTTTATCTTAGAATACTTGACTCACGAATCTTTATAAGATTACTTTAAAATCTACATATCGTTTTATGTTTCCCTTGAGTTGACTGTGGCAAAATGTGCACAATTTTATAGGAGCTGTTATTTTCAATCAAAATTATTAAATAACTCAGTAACTATATCTTCTTGTTAGAACGCACTGTTTTCACACTAGGCAATGCTATTTGTGTGTGTGTGTGTGTGTGTGTGTGTGTGTGTGTGTGTGCGTGCATGTGTGTGTATTTGATATATGTATTTGAGTCAGGGTCTCACTCTGTTGCCTAGGCTGGAGTGCAATGGCAAAATCATGGCTCACTGCAGCCTTGACTTCCTAGAGTCAAGCAATCCTGCTACCTCAGTCTCCAAAATGTAGTGTACAACACCATGCCCAGCTAGCTTTTTAAATTTTTTTTAAAGAGACAAGATCTCACTATGTTGCCTAGTCTAGTCTCAAACTCCTGGGCTCAAGCAATCTTCCTGCCTCAGCCTCCTAAGGTGTTAGGATTACAGGTATGAGGCACTGCACCCAGCCTGTATCTATATATTTAAAGGAAACTTTGTAACATATAAGACTTAAGGTTATATAGACATTATAAACATATAAGACTTAAGGTTCTATAGACCCAAATACCTTAGAACCGTTGGTTTCTTTTAAAAACAGAAGCTATAACAGTTACAGAAAAAGCCTTCCTCTTGCATTAAACCATAAATCCTAATAATTTTCCAAAAATGAAAATCCAACAATAAAAGAAAGCAGCAAATATAAAAGGATAAATCATTTTCCTTCTTTAAGGCTTTGAAACTTCTGGAAAATTCAGAAAAATGCAAATGAGAAAATAATAGTCCTTACGGTCCAAATCCAGGATTAACTACTATTTACACTTTGAAGTAGTTTCTTCTACTCATAATTTTACATGTTTTTATTTTTACTACACAAATGATTTATAAAAGCGTACTATAAGCCAGGCACGGTGACTTGTGTCTGTAATTCCAGCACTCTGAGAGGCTGAAGTGGGAGCATTGCTTGAGCCCAGGACTTTGAGCCCAGCCTAGGCAACACAGAGAGATCTCATCTCTACAAAATACCAAAACATTAGCCAACCATCATGGCAGACACCTGCAGTTCCAGCTACTCGGGAGGGGGAGGCAGAAGTATCATCCGACGCCAGGAGGTCAAGACTGCAATGAGCCATAATTGTGCCACCACTCTCCAGCTCGGGTGACAGAGTGAGACCCCAATTCAAATCGCGCGCACACACACACACACACACATACACACACACACACACACACACACACACACACATACACACACACACACTATAGATAAAGGAAGAGTCTCTTTTAAACACCATCTTAATTGTAGCTTTGCTTCTTTTCCCCAGATGCAACCCTCTTACGAGTTCGATACCCTCTTCAGACATGTATATGGATGTGAATAAATATAAGATGAAATGTACACATATGCAGACGCCTCTCAACTTAAAATGAGGTTACATCCCTATAACCCTATTTTAAAATGAAAATATTGTAAGTTGGGGACTATCTATATGTAAGTATGAAAGAAAACAATATGTAGCCAAATATAAAAAATGTAGAGTTCTTTGATAGGCAAAAATACCAAACTTTATGTGGTTGTTAAAATTTCCCTTTTCCCTTTCCATTGCATGTTTTCTATTGTCCTTTTTTCACTTGTTAAAGTCTAAGTATTTATCCCTAACTCTTCTGTAATATTTCACTATATAAGCAGACCACAATTCCTTCATATATTCCCTTACTGACAGATGTTTTGGTTGTTTCCAATTTTTTGCAACATTATTTAAAAATCATACTGCAATAAATATGCCTGCACGTCTCCTTTTGCACATAAAACAAATTTTTCCCTGGGTTAAATATGTGCTAGATCCTAGGGGATGCTCACCTTCAATTTTACAAAATGACGCCAATTGAAAATGTATTCTCAGCCAATGACATTATAGCAGTAATATAATTAATTGCAAATAATACGAGATGTTTGAACTAATCGGCAAATGACAAATTTTAACTTGTCACTGGATTGATTTGAAAGTCAAGGTGCTATGTGTGTTTGCTATGAAAGTTCCCTATTGTCCTTCTTCACAAGTAAGCAGGAACAAGCTTTCCTGCCACAAGGATAAAGTGTTTCTTGAAAAGTAGTGCAATAGCAAGGTCTCCATGGTCCCCAGAGTCACTCTATGGACTGTGAGATTCAGCCCACCTACTTTGGCCACACTATTGTCACAGACTCAGGGAGTCTCTTCCTGAGAAGCACAGTTCTGTTGGAAGACCAAAGATTTTCTCCAGCTGACTTAGATTCCAGTAAGTCATATTCAAACGCACCAAAATGAATATGTTAGTCCTTGGTCTTCTTTAGCGAATATATTCTACCACGTAAACTTTCATCTAAGTACCTTGTAAACCAAAAATCTGGAAAATATTTTCCTTCATAATTTAAATCTCTGCTCTTTAGGATTGCATACAGAGCCTTGCCCAATGCATTACTTAGAGTAGGGTAAATATATTTCTGAAATTAGAACATGAATTCAAATGGTCATCAAATGTGGACCATGCCACTTTCTTTATAAATAAATACATTTGCCAAAAATACAATTCCTTTTTCCAACCTACCTCTGTTTTGCTTTAAGATAGGTCACAGCAACTTCACTTATGCAAAATCTGTCATTTTATATAAAACTTCCCAAAGTATAAAATGTAGCATTATATTTTCATTTCTTTCATAGAGTGAACATTGAATTTTTATATCTCCTTCATCCCATTGTGATATATGTAATATTTATAAAATAATGTCCCTGATAATAACAACCACTATTTAACAAACTTTTCTCTCATTCACCATTCTTGAAACTCAGTTTAGAAGCAATTCTAGTCATTGAACCAAGCTAAAATTTGGGCACATGGAACTTTTCTCTTTCTTTATTTTAAAGATGTGGGGTACAATGCAGGGTTAGGAAGACAAATGATCATTATGCAGGTACCCTTGCTGACGAAACGGGTACATGGAACTTACCAGGCGTGGTTAGACCAGAGTTTGTCTGCCTATCTGTCTGCCTGTCTGTCTCCTCCTACTCTCTCCCCTGACCAGGCTGATAAAGATGGGTAACAAATTTTTAATACTCTTCTGAGCAAGCAATTTGGAATTTGGAATCTGTGTTTCTAACTAATAAGAGATGAATATTTAGCTCAAACTCAATCCAGGAAGTTCTTGTGCCAAAAAGACTTCAGAATGACTCCCCATGGCAGACAGAATGGGAAGAACAAGACAGAGCAGGCTGAACTAGCTCCAAGCAGGGTATCTTCACTCAAGAGTTGTATCATCTGGCCCCTGTAGTTAAACAGTGCACATCAAACCCAAGTCACAGCCCATCATGCAACCTGCACGAATGTGCAGACATGTGTCGTGAAAGACCTCACAGAGTAATAGACGGGCCAAGGCCTTGACTATATCCTGAAGTTTCCAATATATTTGGGGGCATATGTCACATGAACATTAAACAAACAGCCACTTAACATTTTTTTTCAAAGT